AAATCACTACACCACACTTTTCATGTTCCGAAATATATGGAACTCCCTTTAAAAATTTAACATACAGTCATTCTATTCAGCTTTTTGTATTTAAACATACCGAGACAACAACTTTGGAAAAAGTGTTTGTTTAGGATGTCTCAGCGTACGATACCTTTTGAATCTGCTGGGCGCGTCAGAACCCAATTATTGGTGAGAAAACGAAATTATTGTATAAATTAGAATTGAGTATTATTCCGAATTCCGTTTATAAACCGGTAAATATTGGTTTAGATAATATCGTTTCAAGACAAACCGGTAAATGTCTAACATACCATTAAATACCGGATTACTCCCTTGCAATACAGAAACGCTACCGTAGCTGGTACTAGTAGCTACCGGTATACTTAGCACTACCGATAATTCCGGGTGTTTCTTTTGATACCGGTACTTTTCTGGAATTATTGTGGAAATTCTGGAGCCAATAGGATTCGTTCATTTCAAAGTTCAAATATCGCGCCAAGCAAAAGGGGCAGGCAGCCGTCGGCATGGACGGCTCGGACGCCAACGTCAAGGTTTTCTGTCGCGTGCGACCGCCCAACGAGCGCGAGCGCGGCGTCAACTCCTCGAGTTTCTCGAGTGGATCCGCTGGCTTCCTTGCGCGCAGTAGCGCAGCCGCCGCGTCCGCATCCTTCGCCAAGAAATGCGTGACTGTGCCCACCTCGGACGCCATGCAGCAGACGGTCTTCCTGCACAGCAAACACGGTCCATCCAGGACCTTCACATTCGACCGCGTGTTCAGCGAAGATGCCAGCCAGAACGACGTCTTCGAGGTTGTGGGAGCGCCCATTACACGGGCCTGTCTCGAGGGCTACAATGGCACCATCTTCGCCTACGGACAAACAGGATCAGGAAAGACGTTCACCATGCAGGGACCCGACGATGTCATTGACACAGAGGCACAGAGTGTCACACAGACGCAGCTAGCACTGCGTGGCCTCGTGCCGCGAGTATTCGACTACCTCTTCGACAACGTCGTGGCCAAGGACAGCAGGAAGAACGTGCAGCATATATTCGCATGCTCCTTTTTGGAGATTTACAATGAACGAGTGTACGATCTACTGGATGGAGGCAGTGCAAAAGACGCCGCAGGACTGCAATTGAGAGAGAGCGGACGCAAAGGAGTCCACGTGGAAGGACTGATCGAAAGTGTCGTGACCAACTCGAAGAAAGCAGCAGAGCTCATGACGGTCGGGGCGCAGAACCGACGAGTGGGTCAAACATCCATGAACAGAGAAAGCAGTCGATCACACAGTGTGTTTATCCTGCAATTACAGTCGAAGGAGATGACAACGGAGGGGACCAAAATCCGCACGTCGAGGTTTAATCTGGTGGATCTGGCAGGTTCCGAGCGGCAACGAAGTACAGACGCAGCTGGAGAGCGACTCAAGGAGGCTGGAAGTATCAACAAGTCGCTGTCTGCTCTGGGTAACGTCATCTTGGGGCTGTCAGAGCAGTCGGTGGGCAAGCATCGACACGTTCATTACCGCGACTCGAAGCTGACTTTTCTACTGAAAGACTCACTGGGTGGCAACTCTAAAACGTTCATGGTAGCAACCATCTCTCCAGCGGAAGACTCTGCGTTTGAGACGCTCTCGACTCTCAAGTTTGCACAGCGAGCGAAAATGATCCAGAACAGCGCAGTAGTCAACGAAGACTCAGTTGGCAGTGCTCTCTTCATGCAGGAAGAAATCCAGCGATTAAAACGGCAATTGCAACAGGCACATCAAGAAATCGCTCGGAATATCCCAGGGTCTAGTCTACTTCAGCATGGAGCGACGCAGTCGGAGAGCGCGTCAAGTCAAGACTCGTTTGCTACCTCCACACAGCTATTGGGACCCTGCGATCCTGTTATTGACGGCCGATTCCGCGAGTTAGAGGAATCATTTGCAACGACTGCAGAGAAGAGTGACAGACTGCAGCGTTCGTGCGAGTTTCTACAGCTTCAGAATGGAAACTTCCAGGCGCTTTGCACGGAGCTGAAGCAGCAAATTGCCCACTTGAAAATGATGCTGCGACTGCGAGGAATTGGAGGCCCAGGAGCGCATGACTATAAACCAACGGCTGATGCCATTGAGTGGAGGATGAAATACGAGGAGATGGAAGAACGCTTCATTGAGCTTCAAGACGAGCTACAACGCAGTGGAGTTGAAGACACTGGCACCTCAGGGAAAATCAACAACGAAGTGGAAAACCTCAACATGATGCTGCTAGGACTAACGAAGCAACTGGCGTTTGTGCTGCGGGACAAGCACGATCTACAAGACCGTCTACTGGAGAACCAGTCGGATAAGGACGAACGCATGGATGGATCGTCATCGCAAGACGTGGGCGATGCAGAATTCTCTGCACGTTTGGAGGAAGCGCTAAAGCAGCAGGCAAATGAGTACCAGGCGAAGCTGGACTCGGTCGCTTCATTTAATGCGTGTCTGGAAGAGAAAGCAGTTGAGAATTCACTAGAGTTGCAACAGATGAAGCAGCGCGAAGAGTCCTGGTCAATTCAACAGCATGATCTCGAGAGACAACTGGTGGATTCGAATGCAGCTCTGCAGACTTCGGAAGAAGCGCATTCGTCGACTAAGATTACGTTGACTCAAGAGAAGAGCAAGGTTGAGGAGTTAGAGATGAAGCTGGAACGAGCACGTGAAGGAGTCCGTCTCGAAGTTGAAGCTGCGTTGGCTGATGCTTCCACTGCTAACAAGGACCTTGAGACCTCGAAGGAACTCTTACAGCAGCAGATTACTGTTGTGACTGCAGAACTTAGCAAGCGCGAGGTTCAGATCCAACAAGCTGAGCGTGCGTTTGCACAACTGAAGACTGAAATGACTTGTCTTGATGAAGCCAACCAGGAGACTGTGCTGCAGCTTAATGGGGCTCAAGACAAATTGAAGGAGGCTGAGCTCCAGACAAGTCACTTGCGAGCTGAAATTACCGATCGTGACAATGCGATTGAAGACTTAACGCGAGCTAAGACTGCGATCACTGAGGAGAGAATACTTCTGGAGCAGAAGCTGGAGGAAGCCAGCAATTCTGTCCGACATCTGAAGGAGGATGCCAATGCTACGGCGCAAAAGCATTCAGATGCGATCGAGTCATTGAAACGCCAAGCGCAAGAGCAAGAGCAGAAACTAGTTGAGGACTTTGAGAAGCGTCTTTCTGTGAAAGACGAACACCTTAAGCAGCTTCGCGATGAGTTAGACGATCACCGAGCCAAGGCAGAAGAAGCTGATCGTCTCCACAGCTCGAAACTGGACGAGAAAGAGGCAGCATTTGCAGTGCTTCAGCTCCAGCTTGATGATCACAAACAGGAAGCCCAACAAGCGTTGGAAGATGCTCAACAGAAATTGTCGAAGGCTCTCGTTGATGCTTCTAAGCTTTCAGAAGAGAAGGACAAGGTCGAATCAGAGCACGCCTTGGCGATGCAAGAGTTCAAGCGTCTTCAGGAAAGCATAAAAGAGCTTGAAATTGAGAAGAACACAATGACAAACGAGATTCAGCGGTTATCGGAACGTGCAGAGCAATTGGCTGTCAGGACAAGTGAACTGGATGAACAGAATACCGAGCTACAGAAGAAGTGTGAGCAGCAACAAGCTCAGCTGTCCGAATCGGGTGAGACTATCACGAAGTTCACACTAGAAATTGAGGAACTTCAGCAACAGATCACAGCACAGTCAAATGAGGTTTCAGAGCTTCGCAAGGTTCTCGCTTCAGCACAAGAAGAACGTCGTCAAGCTGCGATTATTCATGCCGAGCAGTTTGATGAGCTATCATCCAGAGCAAACAAGATCGAAGTGTTGGAGCAGGAGCTCGCAACAAACAAGGATACTGTAGAAAGCCTTACTGCTAAGCTCGACAAGACCGAGGGCGAGATTCGAGATGCTGCAAATACTGTTTCACACCAACAGGAAGAGATCGAGATGTACAAGGGAATCCAGTTCACGCTGCGTGACGAGTTGAAAAAGCTTGAATTTGATCGTCTGGAGTTGGCCGAGGCTCTGAAAACTGAGCAAGATTCCAAGCAGGATTTGGAGGAGAAGTTTGCTGAAGCTCGCCACGCATGGTCAGAAAAGAAAAACAAGTTGACAGAGCAGTCTCATGAATCGGTTCTTGCTCTTGAAAAGCGCGTCGAGGAGTTGGTTCTCAGTGGTGAGTTGCTTTCAACTCGAGCTCAGGAACTAGAACAAGAGAACGAGGCCCTCAAGACGTTAGCTGCGGATAAGGGACAACTGGCTGACACTGCTACTGATAGCGCACGCGATCTTAAGTGTCAGTTGGAAGAGCAACAGAAAACTCTGTCAAAGCAGGAAGCGGAACTCGCTCAGAAGGTGACTGCCCTTGCAAGGAGAGATGATAGTATTGCCTCGTTGAAGGAGCTTGCGCACAACTCCGAAGCTGCCTGGGATCTAAGAACCCGGGAATACAAAGCTGAGTTGGAGGCCTCAAACGGCCGCGTGCAGGCACTAGAGCAGTTCATTGCGGAGAAGACATCGGTGTTCGCGAAGGCCGAGGAAGCGCTAGTGGCGGAGAATCACTCACTCGAGAAGAAACTTGAGGAAAGCGAGGAGATCTTGGCGCAGCAGACCGAGCAGTTCATGCAGGAGATCAAGCAGCTTGAATCGAGTATCGAGGATAAGGACGCAAGACTGCAGCGTGCCAACAAGTCATTGAAGGACACAGAGAATGGTAGCAGTGCAAAGGTTAAAGAGTTGCGGGTTGCATTAGAAGAATTTGAGGCCAACCACAAATTGGTTGTTGCCGAGAACAATAAACTCAAGGAGGAGGCCGTGGCTGAGCTGAAGGAGCAGGAAGAGAAGCTAGAACGTCGACGAAGGGAGATCGTCGCTGCGGAGGAACACAACAAGTCAATGCAGAAGGCGTTGGAAGCACAACAGGCCGCAGCTGAGAGTGCGTTGAAGGAAGCTAAGGCGAAGGCAGTAACTCTGGACGAGCTTGGACAGGCGAAGCGCAAGTACTTATCGGAGAAGGTCAAGATGCAACGGGAGATCCAGACTCTAACCAAGAAGCTGGAGACAGTGACGAACGAGAAGGAGAAGCTGGTTGGACACCACAATAGCCGCCAGAAGATTCAGCATCATGTCAAAGTAAAGGAGGAAAACAATCGTCTTCTGGACCAGGTACGACAGCTCACGGACGAGAAGGCGAAACTGCATCGTTCACTCGAGAAACTCCGAACGATGCTCAAGGAGAAGGAGAACATTGGCGTTGAGTCTTCAAGAAACACACCGCCTTCTGTATCTCCTGCCTCCAGCACATCGTCCAGATCGCTACCTAACAAACAAGTCAAGCGGCCAAGTCTTGGTAGTGCGTCGAGTGCTACAGCTAGTACAGCAGCCTCTGCAGCAAGAGCAGCAGCAAGAATAGCAGCGCGAGGTCGACCTCGATCTGCATCCCCCGGACCAACCAAGAAGCGTGTACGGACACACTCATCGGGACCAGGTTGGCAGAGATGATAGTGTATCATCCCAAACTTGCGTAACGACTGCGAGATGGATTAGAGTGTAAGCAATGAGTAAAGGCATGCGTAGATCATTTATCAAGTTACTTTTGTTAGTTGTTGATGTCTTCGCTACTGGATGTGGCCAAGGCGATGAACGCCGAGGCCGCGAGTAACTCAGCAACGTTATCACTAGTTGATGTTGCCAAAGCTGAACATTCAACCAAGCCAATGACTCTCATGGACGTGGCTAAACAGGAGACGCAGCCGAAGCAAACACTACATCAACTAGCACAGGAGATTGATACGGAAGACCGATCAAGGATCCAAGGAGCGATTGACTCAACTGCAAAGGAAGTAAAATTGGAGCGACAAGAACTTCGTTCTCAAGCTCTGAAGCAAACGGCAGTGCAATTGCGACAGGAGGAGCAACAAGCTGCACAAATACTGCAAAACAAAGTGGCAGAAACTAGCAATGTGAAGCGCGACGATGCAGATGCCGACAGTGACAAGGAGAGTGACGACGAAGGCTATTCGAGCTTTGAAGATGACGTTCCAACAAAAAACAAGAAGCAGAAAGAGATCGTGGAATCTGAAGAGGAGGAACCTGCGGATAAAGAAGAGAGCTACGAGCCTCCTCCACGGACAACTCCGAGGGAGTCTAACGAGAGCAAGGAATTTATGCGCGCAGTATATCGTGCCGACAAGTACCAAGTCCGAGACATGCTCAACGATGAAGTCGTCGACGCCAACATCGCGGATCAGCATGGCTGGAGCGGGTTACATTGGGCTGCGTCTCAAAATCACGACGAGATCTTGAAGTTTCTTCTCCAAAAAGGAGCCGAAGTGAACGCCATCGACCAGATCAACGGCTGGACTGCTCTACATGTAGCCATCGTGCGCGAGGCCGTCTCCTGTGTCAGTATCCTCCTGTCATCAGGTGCCGACCCTCGTATCCGAGACAATTACGGCGACACTGTCGTCGAGTGTCTCCAAGCTGCCAGCAGGAAGAACAAGCTCAAAATGCTGCAACTACTGCAGAAAGCCCGTAGTAACAACCAATAGCGTTACCTTTCTGTCTTTTTCTGTGTATTTACTGCGTCCTCTTATCGCTACAGACCACTGCGCTGTCTTCAAGTCACTGTATACGTCTACGAGGACGCGCCGAATGACCCCACATTGTCCTTCTTGTCGTTCTTCTCCACCTTGACCGACTCACGGTACTTCTGCAGATAAAGCTTCAGTGGCTCCACATACGAGTCGAAGCCCAGTGTGCTCATGGCCCAAATGATGTCGTCACCGTTAATGGTCTTGCGCTTCTCCTGCTGGCACTTGTCGCTGGCCTCGCTCGTGATGAACGAGATGAACTCGCTCACACACTCCTGCACTGTCTCCTTGCCGTCCTTGGCGATCTTGGCCGTGGAAGGCAGCGACACTTTCATGATACGAGAGATGTTGGCCGTCGGCAGGAAACGGTCCTGCTCGCGGATCTCGTCGTCGTTATGCTCCTCCTTGCTGGCCATGATCGACGTAATAAGTCTGCGTCCTTCGGGGCGGAAGAGTTCTTTGTTTTAGTATGGGGCATTCGCGGGAAATTTACATGGGGAAGAGACGTGAGATTGGATGAAAAGGGTTTTGAAATTCAAAGGGTTATAGCCAATGAAACCTATCTGTGACGTGGTACTCAGAGCTGCAGACGAGCAACTACATCCTCCAGATGACCCGCAACGCGGCTAATGCTTGGGCTAAAGACTGGCACAGCTGAGAAGGCATTGGGCAAGTAAGCAGAAGTCAGACTGGACTTGTTCATTGTCTAATAACTAGCTGGTGTTTGGATTTCCTCGTCCTGGCCGACGTATCATAGCTTCGTCTTTCAGACTCCTAGTTCACTTCAACCGTTTCCAAAAACTTTTCCCTTTTCTAGCTAGCCGCTACTCTAGTCCTCGTCATCCACCTCGTCCTCGCTGACGTCGTCTGTCTTGAAAAATGTGTAGGAAAGCGTGATGTTGTGCACGCCGTTCATGGACGGATCGTCGCAGATCTCGGGGTCAATGAAGAAGAACACAGGCATGTCGATCTCCTCGTTCGGCTTGAGTCGTTGCTCCTCAAAGCAGAAGCACTGAATTTTGTTAAAGTACACGCCGGCAGACGGCGGATACACATTGTACGTTGCAACGCCTGTGATGGCCTTGTCCGTCTTGTTCTTGGCCGTGTAGAAGGCCAGCGCCGTCTCGCCGGGTACTAGCAACAAGTCGCGCTGTTGCGGACGGAACACCCACGGCATATTGGCGCTCACACCACCGTCGAATGTAATGCGGATTGGCTTGGCGTCCTCTCTGGGTGTGAGTTTATCGGCCACGAACTCCTCCACGCGCTGCGTGGTGCCGCCAAAGCCCGTCATTTGGCAGAAGATCTTGTACAACGGCACGGCAGCGTATGAGATACCCACCCAGGCAATGGCTGTACCAGCCAGGTACATGACGGCGCGGCGGTTGCGCTGCTTGATGGATTCGCGACGCGCCTCCTCCGCCGCGCGCTTGGAGATGCAACGCACGCCACCCAGGCCGGTGGGACGAAGCAGACGCATCGGCGAAGACGTCGCGACGCTGGCACCGCGGCGGGCGACGTGCAGCAGCAGCGAGGAGGGATGCATGTCTATCTCGCCAGGCTCAGGAATGCCAGCCCCAGCTTTGACATCCGACACCGTCAACCTGTCGAAGGGGATAGAGTACCGCTACAAATGCGATGTGATAGGGTTTGTTTGGAAATAATAGTAGCAATTGCGTAATCTCTCGGTTTGTGCTCAAACTTCGAGTCTCAAAGAGCAGTGCGCAGGAGCGTTGTTGCCCTTTTAGATACATAAGCCTTTTGCTTATCTTTCCACTACTACTATAGTACCAAATCGCTGTGTGTGTTCTGGCAGGTCTCGTTCCGATTGTGTAAAGGTAACTGCAGGAAGGTGATGAATACATGTACATGTAGCTACGACACTTGCGCGTACTTACTTACCAGTGAGGGTTTTAGCAACATCGAAAACGACGTTGGCTATTAAAGGTCTTCGAACGCAGTGGTGATATCCTCAAGTTACTAGTTTATGGCTAGGGCGATCAACCACTTCGATTGCAATGCGTCTGTAAGCGATAGTGAAACCAGAAGTTCGCCTAACTACGTTGACGAACGTCGACGTTCGTACACAACATACGTACTAAAGTGTAACGAGGATCAAACAATTCGATATCAAAAGGGCGGATCATAACGTGTGCACTTTCCTGGTCAGTCTTGAATCAATGCTATTGACTCGCACATGCGCACAGTTCTATCGCAGCAGGCGCGCACATTGCAATTATCGCTTGCTGGTCTGTTGTCTGTCACTAGTACGCTGATAATTTAGCGCACTCGTCTCGTAACTGAGTCTTCTTAAAACCTGTAAATCATCGCCACCTGCACAAAACGCAGCGCGCGCTAAGTAATCCACCTGACAGGAAAACAAAATCGGAATGACACTACAAACGAGCTAATCCGCAAATCCAGCAGGGCGCCAAACGGTGAATTATCGCTTATCCCCTGATGCTGGAGCTGCTTCCTTGCTTTCTCACAGTTGGCTCCTGTCCTCATCGTAAAGCTCCGCCTCAGTCGGATGCACCAGCACGGTCCGTCCTTCGAGTTGTCACTCCTGTTATCGGCTGCTAATTGAGATGAACGCTTACTCGTTCTCCTCAGCACGCACGCGGGCGTTGGGGTTGGTCACACGCACGTTCAGCTGCTCAGCGCGCTCGATGATCTCGCGACGCTTGCGGCCCGACACGTTGTGGGCGATCTCGGCGCAGTACTTGCGGTTGTGCATCAGAAGCACCTCGAGCTCAGCCACGTTGTTGACCACGAACTTGAGGAAGCCGTTGGGCAGCAGGTGGCGGGTCTTCTTGTTGGAGCCGTAGCCGATGTTCGGCATCTTGATGGCGCCCTTGAATTTACGGCGCACACGGCCGTCAATACCCTTCGGGCGACGCCATGACTCCGGAACACGCTTGAAGCGGTTGGACTGGTGACGTTTGAACTTCGTCACCTTCTTCTTGACGATCTTCGGGCGGACAACGGGAGTAACCTGCACCATCTACAAACGTAACCAATCGACTTATTAGCTCCCTGTGTCGTTCCTTGTGTTTTTGTCCCGCCCGCTGCCTGTTAACGCCAACGCTGTCTGTCTGTAGCCATCAACACGTGCTCTCCGTCTGCAGACGTGCGCGGTTCATGTTGGCGCAGAGGGCTGTACGCACACGGGGCAAGAGCAGTTCCCTTACCTTGAATTGAGGAAGCCTTTGTGAATTTCAGCACTACTTTGCAGTCGGGGATATCGGAGGCTGGCTGGACGAGAGCGTGCTCGCCATTCAATCACTTGACCAACTTTCAGCCACTCACAGGCTGTGAAGTACCAAAATTACCTGATGATTCGCTTAAAATGAAAATTAGAAATAAACTGATATGATTGGATGATAAAGTCCAGTGAGACCAAATCAATTTTGACGGGTAGTAACAGATCTGATTCGTCTTACAGTTGAAGAGCTGAAACCACCGACAATTGAAGAGCCCTACTACATTTATAACTTTTTAGTGGCGTTTTTCAAGTACAGCCATGGAGACGCCGGGAATGCGCATGTTGCCGAGTGTTGGCGCCCGTGAGTTGGATAAATTCGGGCGGTTGTCGATATTATGACTAATATGCGCTCTCCACGGGCGTAATGTTGTGTGGTGCAGCAACTGGAATCTCACAGAAGCTGGTGGTCATGACGTACAACGTGCTGGCGCAGTGCTACGTTCGCTCGACTTTCTTCCCGTACTGCGAGTCCAGCGAACTCCGCTGGAAGAACAGGTCCAAGAAGTTGGTAAGCTGCAAGCTACGGTAATGCCGTTATGATATGAATTGCTGACAAGTTTGACTGTGCAGGAAGCTGTATTCGCCTCGAGTCTGCCCGTCTCGCCTGATGTCATCTGTCTGCAGGTAGCGAAGCTATTTTATTGGCCACGAGGATGGCCTTTGTGTCAGAACTCGATTTAATCGTATGGCAATACTGACTGTCTGCTGACTGCGACAGGAAGTGGACAACTACAAGGAATTTTGGGCGGGCATGATGAAAAAACTTGGATACGGAGGGTAAGTTTGCTACATTCGGGGCTTGTTCATTCGAGTGTTACTATATCTGCCAGATTGCGCTAACGAGTAGTACTGATCTTTTACTGCTCTTACTACAACTAGTCTCTTCGTTAAGAAGACAAGCACTAAGCCAGACGGTGTGGCTGTATTTTGGAATGAGAAGAAGCTGAAGGTGAAAGAGTCCGAAGAGATTAGTCTGGACTCGCCTAGTGGTGATGAATCGGGTGAGTCTGGCCTTGTTGTCGCTGTTCTTACGAGCGAGAATCTCATTGCTAATCAGGCTAAATGTTTACCAAAAGATATCGATCATGAGTTGCTGTCAAGAGCTTCAACGAGAGGAAGCGTCGGTGCCATTGTCCACTTCGAGCATCTCGAGACCCAGTTGAAGTTCATCGTCGCGACTACGCACTTGTTCTGGGATCCCATGCAGGAAGACGTGAAGCTGCTGCAATCGCGCCGAATGCTGCGTGCAATCGAAGAGTTTACAAGTTCACTGGATGCATCAACGCCGATAATCTTCGCTGGCGACTTCAACTCCTTGCCAGACAGCAAAGTGTACAGCTTCATCACAAGCAAAAGCCACTACCGCAGTGCCTACGCGCAGTATGAATCGGACGGTGAACCCAAGTTCACGAATGTCAATGGCGACGCTGAAACAGATGATGGCAAGATGGTGCCGCGCTTCGTCGGCACGCTGGACTACATCTTCTACCGCTTGCCCAGGTCTGTGGAGTTCTCTTGTTTGTCTTTCATAGTGCAACACTAACCTCAATCTTTCAACAGGATGCGGCCGGCAGCGCTGATGGAGCTCATGTCATTTGAAGATGCCAGCAAGGAGGTCGCTCTGCCAAGTACCATCTCTCCGTCGGACCATCTACCTCTCTTGTGCGAGTTCCACATCCAGTCAACTTCTAACTAGACGAGTTGAAGTGGCAATGGCTACATGACGTAAATGTAGCCATGACTTCTTTTCGGCCAATAAAAATGCTCCATCTTGCAAATAACGGCTGGGCATGTCATTATTCTCGACACGTAATGGGAGCGGCAAGTTCGTCGCCCTCCGCGGCTACTGGCTCGGCAGCAGTGAAACAGATCTTCGCATCTGCACAGGAGAAGGCTGCCTTCGAGAAGATTGTGGGTGAGACGCCCGTTCCACGCGAGGATGCGGCGTATCACACGGTGCTAGCGACACCAAAGCCGCTGCCTCAATTGACACAGGCACAAGTGGAGCTCCTAACACACGAGTATGGCGAGACGCTAGGTATAGTAGAGTCACCGTATTGCAATATTGTTTATGTAATAATACGATGCTGATCACGAAGTTTGGACGCCAATTGACGCGCTGACAGCCCAGAACAGTCTCCAATCTGGAAATTTCCGCGTGCTGCTGCGCTACGTGATTCACGCGCTGTCGTTCAGCTGCAGAGTGGCGAAGATGACGGAAAGTGAGCTGGCAGCTTATGCACCAGGTGCAGCGGGACCAGACCCCGTGGACGGGAAACCGCAGACAGTTGACACACACTTGCACAGAGCTGCGAATGCGCTGTTCTTGGTTCGACAGTTCGCAATGAGGTTTGTAGAGAGAACAGACGAGTGCTCGTTGCTGGCTCACTTCAACCATCAACCAACGGCTGAGTCTACTGGAGCTCAGAGCAACGCTGCTGCTACAACAAGACGTGAGTACGCTGTACTTACAAGAAATGATGCTCGCATTTCGGTTCTGACATTGTTGATGATTTAACTAAACAGATAGTTTGTCGATTCAAATGGAAGACGAAAATGCTGACAAGAGAAACGTTAACGGATTATCACCGGAGGACTCGTCGGATGAGCTCGCTGCTCGCTTTCTAGATGCTCTGCTCACGGCTCTCATTGAATACCCTCCAAAGTACGCCTTGCTATCATCCAAGTTAGTATATTAATGCTTACTCTTTATCCGCTGAATTGTTATTACAGTAATAAGACCTACGATCTACACGTGGAAGTCGTGAACACACTATTGGTGCTTTTGTCGCCTGTGGTGTACCCGCGGGATCATTCCAAGCAAGCCGGCGATCTACGTGCACATAATCCGTTCCTTTACATGCTGATGGCGTCTGCTCTGCCGGATGGCAAGAAATCGTACTGGGCATCCGGTGTGGTTCGTCGCTTGCTGCAGAATAGCATCGAGCAGATCCAAGCTACCGGATCAAGCTCTGCTTCGAATACTGCAGTGATTACTCTGCGAAAAGCTCGCGAGATGTCACTCATCGCCATGTCTGGGACTTCCGACCAGGCGTATGAACAGGAACAATTCTCTTATTTTACGCTGGAAGGCGTTGGCTCCATTGCAGGTGGGTACAGTAATTTGCTACCTTCTCAACTGGTCATTTTCTAACAGTTCGTGCTGTTTTAGCGTCAATTTTCCGGTTCCCGTGGAGTTTTATCCGGTATTTTACCACCCGCGAGGATACTGCAAGCCCTCTTGCCGACCGTAGTATACTGCTACTATTGGTTTTGCTTCAGAGTTGCCGAGATAGCGACTCGCCAGTAACCAGTAATCCATTTCGAGGAGCTCTTTGTGGTATCACGGATGGCGCTGACACTGACAGCCACGACGCAGAGATTGAAGACCCCAGAGCTCACTTGATACAACAAAGTGGAGCCACCTCCAGTGCTGAGAAATTGGAGCTACTGTACTCGAATCTGTTCGAAGTCTGTGGCCGTCACGCACCTTACGAAGCCAGCCATCTTATGCTGTATACACTGCTGTATTCCAACCCAATGATGCTCGACACTGCAGTGAGTGACGTTGACATGGAGCGTCTGTTGCTGCCCTTATTGGAGACGTTGTATCACTCACGGTCTGTGGAACCGAATCGACTGTACATGCTGGTGATCGTATTGCTGACGTTCACTCAAGACCCATCGTTTGTCCGCACTGCACATACCCAGTTAGTAGTCCCCAACGTGCCGTGGTATCAAGAACACTATATGCTGGATGTCTCGCTGGGTAGTCTGATGATGGTTATCTTCACTCGCCTCATCTTCCGCAACATTACGCACTTCCAGGATAGTTTTATCCACCTCAACGCGTTTGCAGCGCTGTCCAACCTCGCACGCTCGGCTGAGAATCTCCACATGTACGCTGCTCAAGGGATCGTGGGGCTGATTGACATGTTGGCCAAGAACGAAGCGAAGCTGGTGGCACAGATGCACCGCTTAAAACCCACAGACAAGGACGAGAGCGAAGTGTTGGCACAGAAACAATCGGCGTATGTTGAGTTTATCCGACTGCTGCTGGGTGTGATCTCGTCCTGCTTGAAGGCGAAGCAGTTGCCGCGTAATCCGCAACTTATTTATTCCCTGCTGCATCGCGCTGACACGTTTGCAGCACTGCAGCAGCACTCGGAGTTCGCTGCTCATGTGCATAATGGTCCAGTGTGGAGCACGTTGGCGCGTTTCCAGGCAGTTGTGGATGCCAAGACCTCGCCAGACGACGTGCTGGACACTGACATGGTGCTGGATATTATCCGAGGTGAATGCGTCAGCCTCCTGGCGGCTTCCAGTGCTGGATCGCGGACAGGAGGCGCCTTAAAGCATCATACCTCGGTAGACGACGACGATGCCAGCTATCGATACGAAGAGGAGGCTGATCCAGAGCAGTTCTTCGTGCCGTACATTTGGAAACTTATTCAAGAGCAGACGCCAGATTTCTGCTGGAAAGTTGACAAGATCACACTCTTCGTACCCACAGGGGTTACGACTGTCACGACAGGCTAAAACGAGAGGTTAACTATGCAATATCTTTAAACGATAGACGGTAGTAAACATACGCGCTTACTTGGGGTTATGGTGATTGGATAGAGTATCTGTGGTCAAGTAAAGAGCGTCACTTGCGCACGGGGGCGATCTTACGCTCGGCGAAGGCAGGCAGCACGAACGAGACCTCGTGGATCTTGGCGCTGTAGTAGCGTAGCGTTTCCTCCATCTTGGCGTCGGGCATGCGCTTGGGCTTAGCCAGCACACCCTCGCTCTTGTCGAGCGAGCACATGATGAAGCCGATCTGCCCTGAAGGGTACGTCGGGATGGTCGTGTACGAGTAGTTGACGGTGGGGAAGAGGTTCTGGCAGCGCTGCATGACATCCACGATGAGGTCAAGGTGCAACCACAGGCACTCGCCCTGCGTGCAGATAATGCCATCGGGGGACAGCGAGTTCTTCATACTCTCGTAGAACTCGGCACGGTACAGGACCTCGGCAGGTCCGACCGGATCCGACGAATCCACAATAACAACGTCGAACTTCTCGGTCGTGTTCTCACGCAGGTAAACGGCAGCGTCAGCGTGCAGGAGCTTCACACGCGGATCGTCAAAGGCCGTGGCCACCGTGTCCTTAAAGTACTTCTTGGACACGTCGCACACCATCGAGTCGATCTCGCACATGACGATCTCCTCGACGCAGTCATGCTTGGTGACCTCACGCAACACGCCACCGTCACCGCCACCCACGACGAGCACACGCTTAGGCTGCTTGTGCGAGAACATGGGCAAGTGAGCGATCATCTCCTGGTAGGCGAATTCATCACGCTCCGTGAGCTGGATCACTCCGTCCAGTACGAGCACATGGCCGTACGTGGCCGACTTGAAGACCAGCACGTCCTGGAAGTCCGACTTGCCGCGGAAAAGCACTTCTTCCACTTCGAGCGAGAACTTCTGACCGGGCCACATGGCCTCAGTCTCACTGAACCACTGCTTGTCGTTGGTCGTGGTGATGGACATGGTGCGAGCGTGTGAGGTGAAGAGCTTCTTGGCTGTTGGGGAGCGCTGACAGGCAGCAGCGACTCGACGGAGCAGAGAAATCTTGAGACTGAAGGCTGCACGTCCAGCGAGTGGCTGCGAGGCTGTTGCTGCTTTGATTTGCAGAGCTCTGACTAAAGGGAGATGGGCGAAATGAGCCACTCATCGGCGGGATGCGGAGGCCGAGAGGTAATCCCTCCCAGGCTGCAGTTGCAGAGGCTTTGAGTGACGTCGCCCCTCCCGATGTGTATCTGCGTGTTGCATGTCAACTTCATTTGTGTAAATCTACACTAAGTAATGTGAACTTTTTTCCATACACCATTCTTACACAAAACTACAGCAAACTTTGCCATTCGAGCCAAAATGCCGCGCTACTACTGCGACTATTGCGACACCTACCTCACGCATGATTCGGTGCGCAGCTCGCCTTGTAGGACGAATCTACATCCGCTAACCCTTCTATCTACTTTGCTTGTGTCTCCTCTTTCTCCATGTGTCTTATTTACCGCAGCAAGCCGGCCGGAAGCAGCACAACCGCGGCTGGAAGCACCGCGAGAATGTCAAACTCTACTATGAGCAGTTCCTAGCCGGTCAGGGTGTCATCATGAACCGTACGTCACGTGTTAGTGGTCTACATCTACATGCAGCATTTTAGCTAACCTTTTGGCCTGTTATTGTAGCTGGAGAGTGGCTAAGAGGCCCAGCACCAGCGGGTTCACTGCCTCCGCGACCCATGAACGGCGGGATGCCCGGTGGATACCCACCTCGTGGAGCTCCTCCTCGGGGCATGATGCCTCCTCCTGGGCCCGGAATGCGTCCGCCAATGTTTCGAGGTGAGCAGCCTTGTCAGTGAAGTTAATTGCAGCGAGTGCTGACTGATAGACGTGATGCTCGATGTACGCTACCTGTAGGACCCCCGCGTGGACCTCCACCGATGGGCGCTATGGGCATGAGGGGACCACCAGGACCAGGAGGCATGACCGGACCACCGCCTAGATCAATCTATGGACCCCAGTAGAACTGCTAACTCAGAAGAAGGAAGATGAAACTCGATCCCAAGTTTGCAGGCTGATCACGTTGACAAAAATGGATTTCCAGATCAACGCTGAGCAGCAAATGAGGCGTTAAAGGAATATTGCGTTCTGCTAGAGATGAGAGCGGGGCAACCAACGAGTAAACGCAAATATGAACGGCAATGAGGTGATTGAGGTATATAGGTGCGTACTTTTCTTCATGTTGGAGTCTGAATCTCGATCTGAGCTTCTGCAGAACACAGATAAAGATCGAGTTGAGGCTAAAATATCGGTGCTGGCACTACGGCAACAACTTCTAACAATGGGTGCGTTATCAAGTTATGAAGTGGTTGTACTGGAGCTGCTAGAATCCTTCTTGATGAACATGTTGTAGACCACAGCCAGGATCCCGAGCAGCAGGATAAGACAGATCATGTCCATCATGCACTTATCCGGACCACGGCCGACCTTTGTGAGGGTTTCTTTCATCTTTTTGTTGACGCTTTCAACTACAGACAAGTGCGATCAGTACACCAATACACTGCGCACAGTAATGCAACCAATGTGAGCCTCTCACCGTGTGCTTGTGTGTTATCAATGCGTTCTCCCAGCCCATCGATCATGATGGCTTGCTGCTGCAGTTCTTCGTTCAACATCCGTGCCTGCTGACCTAGTTCCTGAACTCCCGTTCCAATTTGCTCAATGATGTTATCCTGTATCCACACACACAACCACAGTTTAAGCTAGACAATCGCGAATAATACGTGATACCGAGCCACTCACGAAGCGCTGATCGTTTCGTTGGATGTCCGCCAGGATGGCACGCTGGTCATCAGTTACCACTTCTCGTTCGATTGGACCGTCACCACCTCCACCTCCTCCTCCGGCTCCACCCAAACCGCCGAAAACTGGCCCTCCTGTTGCCCCGCCAGGTGTCGCTCGTGCTGTGAAGGCGCCATTCTCAAACGATCCTATTGGTGCTGCAACGCCGCCAGTATCGAACGCCGTTCGACCTGCTGGGGAGCGATAATTCGCCGCCGCAAGCTCTTTGATACGCTCGTATTCTGCCCAATACTGTGTCACAATCTCCTTCCGCATGGCCAGTTCTTCCGGTGGAAACTTGCTCTGCAACCACAAATAAAAGGTTAAGAAATAGTATTCACAGTCGCGGTGTACTTGTGTATCTGCCTACCTTTTTCTTTTTCATTTCCAGATCGTAGCTGGCTGTGAGGTCCTTAATATCGACACCAACCAGTCGAATTTCCTCTCTGATCTCTTGCTGGCGTCGAATAGCTTCGCGAGGGTGTTTCCCTCTCTTTGTCGCTGCCATGTCATTATCTTGCAAGGTCTGCAGCGCATCAACGGTATTTCATCACCAATATGTTTACATGCCAGCGCATGCTGTACGGTACAGTACCATCTTTAGGTGGTGCAGTCGCTCTCCGATCTTGGTCTTGAGATCGTGGAACTGGTCGCCTTTCTTGTCCTTCTTCTTGCTTTTGCCGTCATCGCCGCCCATCTCCTGGTTGATTCTCGACAACTTGTCCAGCAGTCCATCGAGCTCGCGGTTCATCGTGACTGCAGCACTCTAAACAACACTGTCAATCAGTTCCACTTCAACTTCACCGACCAATCCGCGACGACGTAGCCATCTATCACATACCAACGTCCTATTTCTCTCAAACTTCACCAGCCCAACTGCGCTGGATCAACCACGACAGATCTACTTGTTACTCTGCAGTCCCAAGTGGTGCCTGCTGCACCTTCCGGCGGGTAAATCGAGCCACAGCATCACACTACCGAAACCGCTCAACGTCTTTCCGATTAAGTGCGATTCAGAGCCAGTAGCTGTAGCCATGTCGATTGGCCATTGAGTGACGTAGCTGGTCAAAATGGAGACCGCCGCTGGTGCCGTCGGCGCCGCTGAGAAGGCGCAGGCTTTCGCCCACCGCCTCGTGGAGTTCGCCGACTACGACAAGTGCGTCAAGTACTTTACTGAGCGGCAAATCGACTTCGATCGCGCCAACGACATGGGCTGGAGCGTCCTCATGAGCGTCTGCGCCTGTGGTATGATACACTGCGGTCACTGACACTGGAGTTCCTGTTTAATAACAACTGCAATTATGTTTTGGATCGTGTTTGTATAATTGCAGGCCGTGACGATCTCGTGGGCTTCGTTGTAGACCGCACTACTGCAGTAAACTGCGCCACGAACACCAACCGGACGACTGTGCTGCACCTCACTGCCATGTCCAAGAACGTACGCTATTGACTGTATCTGTTGGTGCGAAATGGCTGACACCAGTGCTGTGTAGACTCGCGTGATGGAGGAGCTGGTCGCGACTGCTGATCGGAAGCAGAAGCTGCAGCAAGTCATTGATCAGCCAAACGCTCACGGAGACACAGGTGCAAAGCTGACATTTTTGTTGAGTAGCGTGTGGACTGGAGCTAAGTTTTAAGCTCATCTGTTCCAATTGTAGCGCTCATGATGGCTTGTGTGGCAAAGAATGTGACGGCGGTGCGGGTTCTCCTCGATCTGGGTGCAAGAATGGATGCAGTAAATGCGAGCGGACTGAACACTCTCATGTGCGCTGCTCGTGTCGGCGAAGACCCACGACCTGGTGCTCCTAGTATTGATGAAATGATGGAGCGAAGCGCTGTTATTGTGGAGGTTTTGCTTGCGAACGGAGCGGATGTGAATGCCACAGAGAAGGCAGGAGGCAACACAGCGCTGCATCTGGCCGTGCTCAGCGAGAATCCTGACGCAGTGGAGTCGCTGATCAAAAATGCGCCGAACCTTGATGTCACGTTGCGGAATAAAGCTGACAAGACGGCACTGGACTTGAGTAAGCAAATATCTGGAGTGGCATCGGCGCAGATGGAGGATTTACTGAAAAACAAGTGGGTTCAGTATGAGGAAGAGGCTGCACAAAAGAGCGCCCAGTTGGAGAAAGAACTGATGGATCTGGCATTAAAGGAAGATGAGAATGTATCGAACCGGAAGCAGATGGCTACAGCTTCTAAAACCTCCAGAAAGAAGAACAAAAAGACCAAGAAGAAAGCCAAGACGTTAGAGAAGGTGTCCGAGCCAACATCAACAATCGACGAGAGTGTTGAAGCCAACGAGGACATTGTATTTGACAGCAGTATATCACCGGATTCTGGACATTTGAAAGCAGAAGTTCAAGACTTTGTTCTCTCTGGAGCGGACCAAGTAGTGTCCAACAACTTTGATGATGGTTTTGACGATGACAAAGGCGACTGGCACAGCGTTGGATCTAAGAAAACGCGTAAGGTTATACTTGAGATACCTGATGGGGGACCAGAACTAACTCTATTACTGTAGATCGCAAGGAACCAGTCAGTGAAAACACAAAAGCTGCACCCAAGAAAAACACCAAAAAGCCTCAACGCAAGCCTATTAGCAAGACTAAAAGGGATTTTCAAACAACTAAGACAGACTCCGCTCCACGACAAGCTTCGCAGGAGGCACAGTCTGAACTTTCGAAAGCCGCCCCACCGACTCCAGTAAACAAAGCGCCGTGGGGTCCTCAACCTGCTTCGGGATCAACGAAGCCAACCGTGGTAGTGTCTCCGCGATCCCAGGTGACATCAGAAGACGATGATGAGTCTACCACATCGGGCATTCCCTACGACGTGCTGAATGGGAGTTTCCATCGTACGTTCCCCGTAGCAGCCGAGTTAGAAATTGACGTGGAGAAGTTTCTCATCGCGTCATCGACGAGCGACCGTGAACTTGAGCCCAACGGAAGCTTGAGTATCTCTCAGGTTGAAGCCTTACAGGAGGCACATTGGCAGGCGTATCATTATCTCAACGAGAAGAAGGTAAGGCATAGTCACATTTCGAGCACTATCGTTCATGTCGATCTAATTAACAATTTCTGACTGTGCAGATCGAATTGACACGAGTGCTCGAAGCCCAACGCGTTGAAGCTCAGTTCACCTTACAGCACGAGCTGATGCAAATGAAGTAAGCTCACCGCCTGCGTCAACGTGTTGATAAGAATGCTAGGCTTAGCCAAGCTCCAACGTCTTGCTGAACTCGGCTTCTGTAAATGAAAGCATCTTTGCTGCCTGCAAATACCAGCGGAATAGAAGTTGTCAAATACCATTAACTACAGACCTCGTGATATACATACCTCCATATGAACTCGTTGGCGTTTGAGCAGATCAATGAGCTTCATTTGTTTCTTAAAAGCGGCTAAAAGTTCTCCCTAGATGCACAAATACCGTGAGCTACAATGTGAAATGTGGATGATGAAATTTTACCTTCTGCTTGTCGAGCTTTTTATTGTCGCGTACAATTTGATCATAATCTGCTTTGGTGACCATTTGCTCGTCATGGTTCTTCCTCTCGTCCTGTAGCTGCGCTTTCACCTTTTCTAGTTCTTCCAGCGCTCGATTAAGACGCACCTACAGACGCGAGCCCTCATACTCCTGTTAGTCTACAAACAGTTGAGCACAACACCTTTATATCGTACGTCCTTCGAGCGAAACTGATGCGATGCCAGCTTCTCTGCTCGCTGAGCATCTTCAACGCGCGCTTGAGCCGATGCCAACTGGCCTTCGAGGATCCGTTGTTTCTCCTCCTGAGCCAGTCTGAGAAACCAACAACAAACCCGTTATATCAAATTGTTGACATACACAGGGACGTGTGACCTACGAAAGCTCGCGTTGTTTTTCTAAAAGTTGCTGAGTCTGCTGGTGTTTCTTGGTTAATGTTGCATTTTCAGCTTTGAGATTGTCGATCTCAACTTTCAATGCCGCCTGCGCTGTTTGCTTGAAAATGTAAAATGGGGGTTAGAAATCAAAGGGAGATTTTTAGAGCATAGCAATCCACGAACCAATTCTTCCCCTCGAGCTATTGCTGCGTCTGCCTCGTCTTGCAATATACGCAGACGCGCTTTCTGGTACCGCACTGTTGCTTCGAGGCCCAGACCTTCTGGTTCACTGTCTCGGATGGGGGTTACATTGTCAGGGATGGCACCGACACTGCCGCTTTTCTTCTTGCTGCGAGGTGCGTCATTAGGTGAAGAGTTACTCTCATCTGGGTGCTTTTTTCGTTGAGATCTTTTCGCTGAGTTCCTTCTCGAGCCCGTTGACACTTTCTCTTTACTCTCACTTTTAGCGAGCTGACGACGTGCCTCTTTCAGGTCTTGCGAGCCCAAAGAGTCGATGGAAGCACTCAATTCAATCTCCAAACCTGTCTTTGGGTCGCTTTGCTGGTTAAGATCGTCGTCATTATCAGTTTTGCGGACTGGTGATCGGGCTTGAGGCGAAGCAGATCGAGTCCCACGTAGCGAAGTCGTCGACGACGAAGAAGTTGGTCTGCTTCTAGATGTCAACTGCTGTCGACGCTGTTCGATAGCCTCTACCTGCTGGTTTAGCTCCTGGTTCTGCCGCTGCAAAGCTTCCTGTCGGGCGGCGAGACTTTCGTTCATTACGACGAGTTGGTGGACAATGCGACTAGTCACTACTGGAGATTTACAACAGTATTTGGACGATCAGTCGTCAAACATTTTTTGTTTCCCAACAGTAAATCTTCGACTACAGGCTGAATGCGTATTACGGGTAGTATGTAGTATGCAATCAATACTATGCGTACGTGCGAGCTCGGATGGTAGCGTTCGATAAATAATACTCCGAGTGTCAGGATTAGAAAGCATTCGATTATCGTTTGGAAAAAGCTTGTTTGTTTGAAAAATGTAAATTGTGAAAATACTTCAGAAATCTAACGTTGCTCCAGCACATTAAATCTACGAAAGTCGAAACGTGTGAAATCCCCTGGAATCCATTTTTTCGAAGTGCTCAGCCACTGATCTTGTGTTTTTTGTTGAAGGCATACAAATATCCGAGCCACTTTTTGTAGTTTGGGTGGGTTTTGTCGTTCGTCACAAAGTGAAGCCCAAGCTTCACCCTGATATTTTCTGGTGTTTTTCCTCTCATGAGCCACCACTTGTAGCGCAGTTTTAACATGAAATTGTCGAGTTTCTTGAGAATTGGGTTGCTGTTAGCTGCGTTCAGGAAGTTACGGCCTGCGTCATCGGCCGTTGCAAATGTGTTAAAAGCTCGGTCTTCATCTGTCTTGACATCGTCCCCACTTGCACCAGATCTTAGAGATCTCCCCTTCAGCGCGTGATATCGACTTGAAACGCGAGGCAAAGAGGGAAAATCGAGTGTACTTTTCTTGGAAGTGGTGGAGCTTGTGGTAATGGAGGCAACATTACTAGCAGTAAGAATAATTGCAGCAGCAATTGCCAACACGAGCCACTTTACAGACATGTCTTGCTTTTCTGGTGTCGTCTGTAGCTTGTTTTTTTTTTTTTACTTGTGAAGTGAACTCTTTCGTGGTCTTAGATTCTAAAGCGTTCTGTGAGAACATGTATTTGAAGTGTGCGGTGGTCATCACGCCCAGCGTTGACTATAAGTGCGATTTACTCGCTCGTAAGGGACCACGACGAAGATGCATAGTAATACGTCAGGTAAGCTGCTGTGGTCATCAAACTCATCGCTGACCACAATACTAAAACTGATAGCAACGTATTCGCATATACTTATACTAGTCGATTTGGTATGCTGCTGATAAACAAGCTAATGGGCTTCTTGAGGCGGATTCATCTTCTCAAAAAGACAGTTGCAATAAATTTGAAATTTATTTTTAGTGGTAACTATTGTCAAGTTAGCTGATACATGCAGTAAATCTGTACGTATTGCCACCAACCTTGTGCTTCGACAATATGGATGAAGTCTAATGAAATCCAGAAGTCCTAATTAATTAACCCCTAAAAAAAATGTACCGTTGAACCTCTTTACAAAAACAACCCACCTTCATAAATGCATACGATTTGCCATGTTTCGTCGCCATCGAAGCACCGTCCCCGTCGCCTACCAGCGCGGCATCCACCACCAGCAGAGCGTGCTGAATGCTGTACAAGAAATCCGCGAGCGCCTGAGCTACGTGTCCGGCCTTTCCGCATCCCACAACGATGCCAAAGCGTTGGTGGCCAACGCGCTGCAGCCCCCGCTTTTGTCCAGCAACAATCTCTTCTTCCACAATGAACGAACGTTAACGGTGCACGAGGCTGCACTACTAAGCTCCAGCGTAGAGCGACGCTCAAAGGGAGAACCGCTGGCTTACGTTATCGGAAGGAAGGAGTTCTGGTCTTTAGAGTTTAAAGTGACTAGTGATACCCTCATCCCTCGCAGTGACAGTGAAGTGCTAATTGAAACGTTGGTGGTAGGTCCATCTTTTTTATACAGAGGAATTTCTGCAAGAAATATTTACTATTATTTTTATGATTTTGTAGGATCAGTTTCACTCGGAGACGCCATTGCGGATTCTGGATATTGGCACGGGGTCGGGATGTTTATTACTGTCGGCTTTGTCCGAGTTTCCTCGTGCTACGGGGGTTGGAATTGACATTAGCCCTGGGGCACTTACAGTTGCGAAGCAGAATGCTCAATCTAACGATTTGGACGGACGAGCGAAATTTCTACATCGAGATCTGAAAACGCTACCGGGACTTCGAAGTGATGCGGCTGGAGCCGAGACGCTGTATCGGCGCTTCGATGTGATTTTGTGTAACCCGCCGTATATCCCGAGCCGGGAAGTCGATCTAGTAGGACGCGACGTGCTCCAGTATGAACCACATCGTGCGCTGTTTGCTGGTGGCTCGCCAACTGCTGATGATAGCGAAATGGATCCGGAGGGACTGCGGATGTATCGCTTGCTGTACGAGAGTGTCGACAAGCTGTTTAGAAACGGAAGTTGGGATGCTGGAAATGCTGGAAAATTGAGGAAACACTGCCTACTCATGGAGATTGGCTCGGAAGACCAGGCTCGAGCAGTCCAGAAACTATTTACTAGCAGAACCAAATCAAGATTTCCACAGATTGAAGGAAGCAAGAGCTCACCGCTACACTTTGAGCGCTTCTTATTCGATGCAAGCGGGAAATATCGGGGCCTGCTCTTTGTGAAATGATATTTGAATTGATCATTTTTCAGTCGATTGTCATTTTTTCCCAATTGAAGCCTGTAACTCATTAAAGATCACGGTCGGTGTGAGCGCTATCATCACTTTTTCACGCTGCTTGACGTATTGACTAGTCCGACGTTCTATCATCTTTAAGGGCACGACGTGCTCAGCATTGTACGCATCGCCACGTTCAAAAAACTTTACTCGATTCCACCATATCGATAACTGACATTTTCTTCACGCCGGCGCATAAGAGCTCCATGCCTTGCTTAGATCTCCATCGTTGCAAACGCAAGTGCGAGTACGAATCCATGATGGAAGTACTGCTTGTATCGATCTTGTTTCAACGTTGATATTTTCGGCAATGAGTAAATGTATCAGGAATTTAATGTCTATATGTATTGTCGCTCTTCTGTTTCTTCAGGGGGATACAACGTGACGATCCCCTCGGTAGTAATCCCTAGAAATGGAATAGTCCCTCAACAGCAATAAATTAGCGGATCCCATTGACCAGTCACTTACAAACCCAAGATTAGTCAAATATTCCTATTCTGGGGTGCTAATTGTATGAAAACAGCCATAACTGCACAAGAGCATTATTGCTGCCAAGTCCGATCCGAATGTTGAACCGATGATGCCTATTTTGACTACTTTGGACGTGATTCGAGCTTTAGGATCACGGAGAAGTGCTCAACCTTCACTTTAATTGCACACCTGTGACGGCAACACCCACTTCACTCCACGAAACCCAACTGGCAAGTACCTGGTCGGGTGTACGCCTCGTGCCGCGATTTTGTGGCCAACTGCGAGACCGGAAGTGAGTCCAGTGCTTTTCTGCGCATCAATAGCTTCCAGATCGTTGATTGTAATGAACCAGAGGAAGACTGTAAATTCTGTGAGCCCATGAATCTAACTCTGTTTGGGACAAACTAGGGATGTGAACATGGTGCTAGCATATTTGTACAGCAGTCGTTGAGTATTGGTGAGTGTGAGGAGGACTGGCTGGGCTAGAGAGGAGGGTATCTTGGTGTGGTGAGGCAAAACTGGCAATAGGAGAGCAAAACAGGGTGGTTCACCAGTAACGAGCTACATAAATCGTATATTTTGTGTACTGTTCCAAAACTGAAGGTACTCGGATCCATTCGTGGATAGGAATACCTTATACAGGAATAAATTGTTGGCTCCCAACGCTATGACTACCAAGGGGATCGTCTGTAACATGTTTACGTGTGTATAGAAATTTTCTGAGCCAGTTTCCCGACATTCTAAACGTAACATAATATGTTACGTTTGTGGGGCATATTATGCCCACAACGGTAAATACAAACACTTTCACACCGGAGGATTGTAGCGCTATTTTTTTTAGAATATGATAACTCTGCACATGTAAAAAAAATGAAATGATGAATACTTAGCATTTAGCTACATGTATATAGACACCTGGATCATGTAAAGCAGCTACTGTTTTTTTAATACCCTTTCCTTATATACAGACAGGATTTCCGTTTTTTTGAGTTTCATTTAATTCGACTGCTGTGTACAAGTACTGTCCATGTAATACAGTACGGCGCATGAATTCGAGACAGTTAATGCACATCACAAGCCTTGATTCAAACCGGTTGGTCATTGTGTGGTTCTTCGATCTATCGATTGCTGGGAATCAATTGCCTTACCAAATTTTTATTCGAAGTTTGAGGAAAAACCAATGGTTATTTTTCTAGCCTAGCATTCTTTTCCAACCTTCTCATCTTGCCCGTTATTGAATACTAGAAACGATAACACTGGACACGTCATTGCGGATTTTAGTTAGACCAAATCATAGGATTGAAACGTAAAAGCCTGCTACTGAATTGTAGCCACAAACGTAACAATCTGTGGCAATTTAACCCACCAACAGACTTTCCTGAATGTACGGTTCTCGGGTCAGAGAGGCGAGCCCGATGATTGAATTGCTAGCCAATTTTTTTCATTTCCCCATTTGATCTCCAAGCTTCACAGTACAATTCCAGTCACGTAACTCATGACTTTATTTCGATTCGTTTTACTGATCACCGCAGCTCTTCTGGTCGACATCGACACTGCGTCGGCATAGACCAACGACAAACTATCAGATACCGTGACAGCGTCCAACTCACATGTTTCTGAGACGCCTTATGCGGCGTCAATCTGTAAACGATCGCTGCGACTGGGCACTGTCGACGAAGACTCAAGCAACAGCGAGGAGAGAGCTTTACTCAACGAGATTATGCATGCAGCTAACCATGCTGAAAACGTGATCATAACGGGATTCAAAGAGTCTTCGATTCTGAATTGGCTCGACAAGATTTCACAGAAGCTGCAGTACCGGTATTGGCTGTGGAAGAAAACGAAACCGGAAGCTGCGGAAAAAAACAGCTGGGACTCCACCATGTATCGAATATCGAGTCTCATCCAAACTACCAGAAATGGCTCGGGTACAAAGAGGCATACAACAAGAAAAATAATATTGTAGAGTGATCTTTCACCGACCTAAGCTTTACCAAGCGGGAATTTCGATTACATTTTTTTTTGTTTTTACTACTGGAGCAGTCTGTAGTATTTTGTCTCGTGTTATGAGAGCTGTTGATTGTTCAACTTATTGCAAAGTGAATTGCATCCAATTTATTGACATCGTGAAAGAAACTGTTTCGCAGGGCTCGGACAATTACATGTAAAATTGTACTGGAATTCCTGGAAAAATAATTCATTATTCCGTATAACAGGAGCCAATAAAAAAAAATAATTGTGTTTGTATATTGCTAAGCTAAGAAACAAAGGAAGCCACAAACTTTGAAGAGTAAATAGTAGTAGAGTGTTACTCTTTAAAAGTTCTCACTATGGAATTCAAACTGCACATCTGGTGCCTGTCGAGCTTTTGCTTGATTCAGCACCGTACACTGCTCATGGATAATATTTCCAAGTGGCTTGGGGCCGCAGAAGAATACACCAATCTCCTCACGTTCATCCGAGGTATTCACGCTTGGCTCCAGTAGGCGATGGTTACGAGCCACCCGCGACAGTTCAGTGTTCCAGTCGGGTCGTCCGAAGTGCGTTTGCTGCTTCGTGTTAAGGCCAGAGATTATATCTTGTCCTTCGTTGTTGTGGATAAACTTCTGCAGAGCTTGCAACGGGGCAATTACCGCTTCGCTCTTGACCGAAGAGAAGAAGTTATGAATCTCTAATCGGTTCTCAGTGTCCATTTCACTGAGTTGATTCATCGTGTTGGTAAACCACGTGAGAGACTCCTGCTCCCGCGTGACCCAATAGAAGTAGATCTTTCGGAGCTGGAAACTCGGTGGGAACCGAACGTGTCTGCAGTGAGGGCAGCGAAAAGACTCCCACTGGTGCATGATACTTCTGAGAATTGATGCGAATGGGGTGACACCAATACCTGCACCGATCAGAACAACCTCTCGGTAGCGCGAATAGTCTTGAGCTGGAGCTCCCACTGGTCCATCTAAATAGACAACTGGATACGGAGACGTCATCGGACTTCCTTGGTCCTCAATTGATGAAGCTTTGTGCTCTCTCTGCAGCATCTCCAAGTTTTTATAAAGCGCTCCAGTCCAGTCACCCGCTTTTTGAATGTGAAGACTAAGGAATTTATCCTCCGGGGCTGATGAGATCGTAAACGGATGCCACTCGAACTTTGAAATTGCCGGCACATTGATGAACATGTACATTCCCGGCAAGAAACGCTGTCTTTTGCCAAACGATCTTGGTTTCTTCATGAATATCGCCACCGATTCCTTCGATAACTGAACGTGAATAATCTTAGTTTGTCCACCAAACACTTGAGTCATCCGGTATCGCTTCTCGATCAGAAAAATTACAACTGGGGGTAGAATCCAGTATTGAGCTTGAGGCTCAGCCAGCCAGCGAGCGAAACCATGGAATGCCATCAGCACGAGAAACGGGATGAAGAGCATGTGCGTGACCCAGAACATATTGAAATTTCCACGTCGATACTTCGCAAGACACAGTGGAGCCGCGATACCGGCGCAGATAAGCATGACCACACCCGTCCAGATGGGGATTCGCAGGGCGAAATCAAACAAATTCTCGTCACGGACAAAGGAGAGATGGTGATACCGAGACGCCTCCCACACAGCCAAAGGAACAGTACGGACGTAAATTACGATGGCGAGCCATGCTGCTGTGTGTCCCACTGAAGCGATCAACATTACCACGCCACAGACCTTGTGAAATTCAATGTGGTTGTCGATCGGGAGATGGTTCACCACCACTGGGAGTGTCCGAAGGCCAGTCACGAAGTTCCGACACATCGGTAGCAGAACAAACATGGTGTTCACGAGGCAAATTTCGGCAAAACCTTTTGCAATTCGAGGACAATTACCGACGGCTGGATCCACTGGGAACCGAGAAGCCTTGGCGATGAAGACACCAATCATCAACAGGAAGTAGAGCGTGAGCCAGAAGATCTCGGGTTTGTACTTGCGACAGTATTTTTTGACGCGATACCATCGTCCTCCTTGCTCGTTGTTGTACACGATCTCCCTCTGACGCTGGGTCTCCACAACACTACTCATCAATCCGAGAGCCTCTTTGCTCTTGTCGTCGTCAGCTTCAACCACTACGTCTGCGAAAATGGCTTTGAACTCGTTATACGTCATTTTGTATGGTTGACGACAGTGGCCAAACACTTTATCCACCACCGCGTCGTAGTCGAAAGCGCCAACAAAATCCACCCCATTGGCAGCAAAAGTGGCTTCGATGAACGCTCGAACTCCTTCCTTGGTTAGCACACCGTGATGCTCGACGTCAAACATCTCAAAGAGAAATCGACACTTCTCGTTGTCATCCAGTGCAGACACTCGAACAGCATCGATCATCATCGCTACTGATTCACGCGGCAAAGGGATAAAGGCCATCGAAGATCTGGATCGTTCATCATACCCCAACGCTGCTGATCCCTCTCCGGTGATCCGTGAAGTGTTGAAGGCGTGAGTGAAGAACGAAAGCTGTTCTGGAGCGTGTGGATCGCCACAGTCTACAGCACCGAAAGCATTACTGGGTGCACTTGACAGCGAGTCCTTCCAAAGTCGGTCTTTCAACTCGTAAAGCTCAGCTTTGTTCATCTGACGACTGGGTCTCGACCACATCGATGCACCCGACATCGACGGGTGAAAGCTCATATTGAGTGCTGATTCGTTTGGCAAAAAGCTCGAGCGATTGGTTGTACCACCAGCACGCCGTGTGTGTCCTCGACGTGAGTTACCCAGCGGCTTTCTCACGTGTCTGTCGACGCCCGATCCGCCCAGCATCGCGACGAACGAGGTCCTCTTGGATTGCGAGTCAATAGGAGGTTGGCGTACACTAGGACCATAAATTCTGGGCATGGCTAGTGCTGAGGGTAGTCTCTGCAGCTCTTTCGTCTCCTCTTGATGGAGTGTGTGCGTGCATTCTACCGGCGTATTGGTCTCCAGCATGGCGAACTCTGACTTGATAGTGGACGCTGGTGTGGTGGTGGTGCTCCTCGGGAAAATAGAGTCACCAGGCTGTGGTTCGTTCGACGCGTAATTGACCACCATTTTGGTCTCCAAACCGGACAAAAGGATATCGTCGGATGGGGCAAAATCGACAAGTGAGCCCGAGACGTTCTACCGCGTAGTGCGGAGGTGTCACCATTGTAAGCGCCAGGATGCCTGATCGGACGACGCTACGGACACCAGTCGAACGTCAGGTCTACCGCCATCCGGAACGCCTTCCGAGCTCCAGATGGAGAGGCGTAACATGTCATCTTGGTACAAATATCTTGAGGTGTGTATGGTCTCAAATCGAGCGGTGCAACGTCAGTCACGATGTTCTAGTCGTGCAGTGTGCGTTCGCCCAATCGCTGACTCAGAAGGACACTCTTGGCAGACTGCGTAGAGGACAGGTGGACAGATTGTTCCGGCTGGATGGGTGCCTGTAGCAGGTCGCTGACAGACATGCGGCATGTCGGAAGGATGCAGGTATCAGCATGCGGACGCTCGACGAGGTTTCGGACGGCAAAACGCGCCGAAATGGAGAACTAGAAGCGCTACAGTCTATTATGTCAACCTTGGAAGCATTTATCTTGATTTAGCAGTTTTTATTGGGCAGTTGAGCTCGGTTTTGAACTTCGATTTGCCGCCCTTTAATCGACATTAATTGAGATTAAACTTGTGTACGGCTGTTGAAATGCACCTCATTTCTCTGCGAGTGGCAACTCGTGACGATTGTGTGAGCACCAGCAGGCTATAGAGAGACGTGTGTAAAATGGTCGATCGTCATTGGAGCGGATTTCTACTGCACAACTACTGTACCTACCTGTACTCTGCACTTTACAGACGTCGACAGTGTAATGTCGAGACGTCCATGTTGTCGTGATAACACTGGCAATATACGGGGACCGATCGGAGTCAAGTAACGTAGATTTCGGCTTCGGTTCGCTAACTGTAAAAAAAATATCACTTTCAAAGCCACATCCTCTTCAGAGCTTTCGCTGCTCATGAGATGTGCCAACCAGACTTACTCAAATGAGACGATCGAGGAAGAAGTATACTAGCAAAGGATATCTATGCAAGCGAATATACGAGCTCTAAAACTCCTCACTATGAAAGTCAAACTTTAATCTGGACTCTAGGTTCAAGACGGTGCAACAATTGTACGAAGCGCCGATTTCCTCACTCCAGTCGCTTTTCGGCAAAACACGAGCAGTAGTGAACGTTTTCGCCGACGAGTCTCACTAAAGATGAACAAGCGGGAAAAAAGTCTCATTCCGCTAATGCAGAAGAGTTACCCTGTTCACTAGATACAATACAAGATCAATGCTGGAAGCCTAACAGCTAACAGCTAGCAATCCGTCGTTCAAGGCGGGCTTGTGAACGGCAAAACAGTTATTTGTTTTCCATCGAACACATCTGGGCGTGCTACGACAGCCTCCAATCTTACTGACAGCTTGAACTCCGATGGGCTTCTACTGCTCTTTTTACTTATACCCATGCGCCTGGATCAGTCAAACCGCATGCTGTTGCATCTGTAAACAACGGGATTGCATCTACTGTAATGACCTGGTCTTTATGGCACTTAAAAACAAGATGCAAACTGGTTTAGGTTTGGCGTCTGCGTGCTGTTTGTACGTGTGAAAAGTATCCCCTGTTCAGTGAAACTGCGCAAGGTTCAAATTTGCAGTGAATTGTAGATTCTGACAGGAAACTCCAAACAAAATATTTACACATGATACCATTTCCTTCATGCAAACTGCTCTAAAACCAACGGCACAACTTCGCACTTACCCGCTTCAATCTTCATACCCAGCATAGCCGCACAAACTGCCTCAATGAATCCGAAATGCGTCACTACAGCAACGTGGCGCTCGGGAATCGTCCGGAAAAGTTCTGTTAGAAATTCCTTCGCACGAGTTTGGATCTCCTCAGCAGACTCGCGGTAGTCGGTTGTCCACAGAGTATCCTCCTCATCTTTCAGCGCCGAAAAGTCCACGGCAGGAAATTTCGCTTTCAGCTCAGACACCGAGCGTCGATTGTTGCAGGTATCGACTCCGAGATGCTCACGACAGCTTTCTATACACACGAACGGTTTATCAGGAATCTGGTTCTCCACAAAGAAGTTTTGAGCGGTTTGAATGGCTCGCGAAATCGGCGAGACGACGACTCGCTCGATGGGTGGCATGCCTCGCTCCATCTCCGCCTTGATACTTGGTGGCCCCTTATTCTTCGCGTCTTGGATACCGAATGGTGTCAGCTCCGCGTCTCTGTAGACATCGCTGGTCACCAGCTCTTTGTACCAGCGCTCAGAACCATACAATTTGATCGCTTCATTGTGGAGACCCTCGCCGTGACGAATGAAGAAAACCACTTTGAGGTTTCGAGTACCGTCTGCCTCCAACTTCTCACGGAACTCCGACCAGGATGAAGTCGCCAACTTGAATTGTCGGAAGAGCTGCAATAATTCCGACGATGCTTCGGCTTGAGGAATGGTCGAGAAAAAGCCATCCACTGCTCTGATAGTCGGTGAATTGCTGCTGCTAGTGCTGTGTGGCCCCGTCATTGTGGTTTGTGCTGGTGTGCACTCAAGGAGAAGCTTTGGGTTATGGTGAGCGATCCTCGCTCTATGAATCGCTTCGTACTGACTGTGGGGCAGATCCAATAAGACGTTGCCACGCACTACGTAGAAGGTGTCATACTTGATGAGTGGCGTCAGCTTGGAAGCTTCAACATAATCTCAAGTGGTGGACGTTCGATTATGATTTCGATAGGTTGGCTCCTACACTGTCCATTGTGTAGAGGGATGTAGCGAATACTATCGACTAATTACCGCCGACGGTGGTGGCGGTCTTCGCTACGGTGGTCCCTACGGTCATAGTCTCGGTGGCGACTGTGGCGACTGCTCTCACGGAATCGATCGTGCGATCGGTCTCTCGATCGGTCTCCACTTCTCCTTGAATTCCCAGCCGAGCGCTGAGTCTTCTCGTTGCGCGAGTCGATAGTCATGTAGTCCTGAGTGGCAAGAGCATAAAAAGAATCAGAATTATTCCAGAGTACACGAAGGTGTTGTAAAATCCGTCTTACATCAGCTGAAGGTTCGTTGCCAGCACGGAATTGATCCTATACATTCATAAGAGATTTTAGACAAATTAGTAGGAAAATAAACAAAAAAACAAGGTGGAACTCACATCGATGTGCTTCTTGAATTTGAGCTTCGCTGTCATCCAAGACTTGTCATCATTTGTATCATCATCGTCGTCGTCTTCGAGAACCTGACCATGATAGCTCTCAGCGTCCTTCTTGGCTTTGTCTGCATCTTCCGAAGTGTTGGTCTTCTTCGCATTCACGTCAATTAGCGTGGCCTGGAACTTCTTCAGTTTCGACAGCGTGTCTTGCTCTCGTGCCGTGCGGTTACTGGCCTTCTTTCGCTGCAGATACTTTTGACGTTGTTGCTGTAGTGGGGTGAGCATGTCCTGGAAAGCTCGGTCTTTTTCCAGCTTCTTGGCTTCTTCGCCCATAAGCAGCGGAACCGCTTTCTTCGATATCCGCAGCTCCTCACGTAGCTTTGTATACTCCTCTCGATTTTTCTTCTTGCTGCTTGAACCTGCAACAAACTTCTCCGTCTTCGTAGCGTTGGGTTGCTCGATATCGTCACTCTGTTCGACTGCAGACCGAACATTCTTGTTTGGTTTAGAGACAGCAGCCACGGCTGCTTTCAGGTTTGCTAGTGACCGCTCCTTTTTCCCCTCATTTGCTGCCTCGCCACTCGCTTCATTAACTATCTGTAAGACCTCGGCGTCCACTTCCGCCTTCAGTTTGCGATCGTCGAGTAGATCATGACTGCTTATCATCGTCTTGGCCTTTTTCTTCTTAGATTTCTTGACTCCACCATCGATCTCGTCCTGGAAAGCCTCCTCTTCGTCTCCAAACGATAGTAGCTTCAAGTCCTTCGTCGCCTTTCGCTCACGTTTCTTTTTCATTTGAGAGTCCTCTTCAGTTTCTGTCTTTTTGACATCTCTACGTACGCACCAACATACACAGGACGAGCCCTTGAGTCACCACAGTCAAGAACACTCTTTAATCCTATGTCCATCTCACCTGGGTACGATGTCTTCAAATGGATTCCAGAGCACTTCAGCACTCAACAACTTCGGTGGATTAGTAGGGCGGTCCTGTGCGTCCGTCTCCAGGTCACCAACACTCAACAAGTTGAAAATCGTGTTGCCTGTAACCTAAAAAAAAGACCAATAAAAAATGAATAAAAATTGTACTTCGAAGTATCGTCTAATAGCATTCAAAATCGCACGTACCTTGCCCAAGATCGTGTGTTTCTTGTTCAGAAACTCGCAAGCATCCAGCGTGAAGAAAAACTGTGAGTGGTTCGTGTTGGGCTTGTTCTCATTTACCATTGCCAGAAGTCCACGATGGTTAAATTTCAGTCTTGAGTGGAATTCGTCGATGAACGCGCCTCCATAGATGCTCTCTCCGCCTTTGCCAGTGCCTGTGGGGTCTCCGCCCTGCACCATAAAACCGGCTATGATGCGGTGGAAAATTGTCTGGTCATAGTACTGTCGTTTACAACATATCATATTAATTTGCCATATCAAGCACTGAAAATGAATAGAGCAGTACCCCTTCCAGACAGAGCTGGACGAAGTTGCGGCACGCCTTGGGTGCCTGTTGCGGCCACAGCTCCACGTCCAGATCTCCGAAGCTCGTGTGCAACAGCACCTTGCCCTCCGTGTTGGGCTCCGTGATGTAGATATTCGACATGGCTGCGCGTCAATTTGGCAGGTTGCCAGGTAGAATGGCAGCAATTTGTTGCCACATCACTTTTACATAATAAAACCATATGTTGCTGCAAATGTCAATTTCAAGACACTCGAGTATATTCTTTCTGTGCCTTGCTGGCGTCAGTAGTTTATCCCATTCTAGTGCAATAGAACACATAAGGATTGCTACTTGAATTTGCTGTTTCTAGAACAGGAATACGAACGAATTGTACATGGGCAATTAGCAGGATAATCATCGGGAATATGTATCTTGGTATTTACTATCCATTCCAAGCCCAGATAAAGTATGAGGTTCGAGGTAGAAGTTCCCCAGGCTCCTGGGTAAACCCCAGCTAGCTGTCTAGTAAAATACAAACGTTTATCGAAGTAATCCGAGTGGACATTTTAATTTTCGCTAGTAACTCGAAAGTAATAATAGTTCCTCGATATAATAATCGACGAATCAAGTTTTTCGCATATTCAACAGGATTTGCCGCAAAAAAGGAGAGAGAGCTTCGGTGACGACAGAGAAAATAATCGCATCTAGTGTTCTATTGACTTGTAAATAAAACCCCTTCTGAAGCACTAGTTACATTTTCAATGGGTAAGGACCGGCAAATAGTTATTTGTCAGGTTTTCACCTTTTGGGCCTTTTTCTCCAAATACGTTTACGTTGAATCAGTAGCTTCGGCTCGCTCCAGCTTCACACGCTCACTCAATGTCACGCGCTCAAGATACTCCTCGAATTTAGCAAGTGATTTTTTCTTCGGTGACAAGCCATATTTCTCCTTCCGGAATCGTGCACGTTGCTCTTCGAACACTCGCAGAGCCTCACGCTCTTCTTGAACACGACGCAGTTCATCACCATCGAGAAGCGTGTGTTCATGTTCTTCTCGCTTTCGATTCGTCCATTGTTCGTAGAAATCATCCAACAGCGTATAGTAAAGTGTCAAGTTTTCCAGCTCACGCTGTTGTAGATAAGAGCGCTCTCGTTCTGTTCGTCGTTTCCCGTTAACCTGCTTGCGACGTCGGAGTTTATCCAGTTGCGTGGGTAACACTGTCACGAGGAACGGCATCTTCTCTCGGCTCTTACCATTGGTTGTAAACGGCAGATGTCGGTCTACAGTTTCGTCTTGATGTTGCAGATTTGAGAGATCTCGGAGGTCTTCATGGCGATGTCTCGAGCGTGTTTCATTCTGCATGAACGCTCCTTCGTACCAGAATTCCCACTTTTCCTTATACTCTCCAGTATCGTCAGTCGATTCGTCATCAGCCCTGTTGTCATGAAGACGATAGTAAAAGTCTCCTCGGCCATCCATGGCGTCTTCGTGCCAAAATCCCACATGCTTAGATCGTCCACCTTCAAACCGAGCCGTGCCACGTCCGTGGCGAGCGCCACCATCAAAGAATCCTTCATATTCATCACCATGACGTTCGCGTTGCCTACCACGTCCATGCGGCTGGCCTTCGGCAAATGGTCCTTCAACGAATGACCCATCTGGAAAAATTCGCTTGCAAACTGGGCCATGTAGAACTCCGTTTACAAATACGCCTTCATCGATCACACCCGTTGAGCTGACGTATCGTCCTAGTCCGGAAATGACCCCGTCTCTCATTTCGCCGTCGTAGGTAGCGCCGTCAGGAAATATTACGTGCATCTCGCCGCTCTCCGTACCGTCACGATAATCATCCCCATTCAGTAGTGAACATCCGTACGCACGACCTCGTAACTTGTCGTTGTATTCGTAGCGACGTTGCGGACGATCGAACGTGCCTTCACAAGTTGTTCCCTTGCCGTATACAAGCTTTCCATTTCCACAGCGAGTGTTACCACTAAAGTTACCAGTATAAACGCCAACATTCGTGTACTCTTGACCTTGGCCTTGTTTCCGACCAAGACGAAATGCTCCAGAGTACACACCGCCGATGGATGAAAAGTGAAAGCTCCCGTCGATAGGATCTAAAGGCACTTCCTCTTCATCAGCAGCTAACGCTGTGAGTGTAGGCGCCATCAATTCACCCTCTCCGTGTCGGAGTCGACGAAGTCTTACCGTTCGCATGTTGATCTCCTTTAAAAGATCGTCAGGATCGATCATTTGGTTAGAAACTTGGTCATCTTCGAAGAATGCCCGCGGTTGAGGTCGCGTCTGTACAAGGCAAACGTAGTTCCAGTCATTTTTACCCAGAGCTAGAGACGCAAGGTCACGTCCACGTGGACTCGTAAACGTTGCTGCCCAAGTCTTCGTCTCTACTTCATCCTTGATACTAGTCGATGGCAGCTCAGCATCCCGTGGAACTTCAGTGAGTGTTATGGGCTCCGTCATAATCAACTTCGTCATGCGTTTCCGTCGACGCTCTAACTCATTGATTTCATCTGTTAGTTCCTTCACTTGGGCGTTCATAGCGTCAGCCAAATTTTTACGAGTTTCAGTCTGTTCTTGCTGAGTCCCAGCAAGGTCCAAGACTGGTAGAGCGTTGATCTTCTCCTTCAAGACTTTCAACTTCTGACGTGATGTTGCCACTAAAGGTTTTAGTCGAAGCAACGGTTTGAATTCTTGAGTGATGCCAAAGAGTAGCCATACTCTGATGTCAACCGGTTCGCATTGAACTGGCACGAAAGCAAGTACCAGTAATGCTCCACCAGTGTACAGTGGGTCTTGGAGATCATCCTGCGGTATTGGCTCTATGCGTTCGTGGATGATGTAGTACCATCGGTCGGTCCCGTTGGGTGGGAGTACCTGCGTCATCCAGTCCTTGGGCCAAATCACATCTAGTTTTACGGCCTTAGAGTAAGTTGAATGGTTTGACTGAAATGATATACATTCTTTGTAAGCGTACTGTTAAACGGGTCCTTAAGTAGAGCAGCGTTGCATTCAAAAAGCGCATTGATCTTGGGCCTGGACACGCAACATGGTACCGAAGCATGAACATCGATGAGAACGACACAAAAATGATAATTTTGATGCGACGCACACAGTGAATTCTGATCGTGGAACGAAGCGGAATTTGTAGTCCTCAGGCTTGGTGATGTTTGGGTCGAAGAGAGCCACGGCCATTTGGTCTTCTTTGTACTCCTCTACCATTTTACCCGAGCGTGGATCAACGATGAGACGTCCTGTACGCGTCGCCATTGCTCTATGATCAATTAGCTTGACCTGTCGATTCGATCAAGAAAGAGGCTAAACGACCCTTGGACTTTTCGCCATCAGCCTAACTCGATCACGACGGAAAAGAATTATGCAATTTTTGCCGGTGCTGAGCTAGTCCTGAAACTCGTCATCACATTTTTGCGGCAGTAGCAGTGAGAATAAATTGAGACCACTATGGTACTTATACGAATACTAGACGTACTACTGGTTAGTGGTGGTAAAATGCACTTGCGTATATTGACTCAAGTGTGAAATACATTCAGCTGGAAGCGCATCCAAAACACGTGGTGGACAGCATCTCGAACATGCTTCTTTGGAAAATTGGAGATTTAGACGAATACTAGATCACGTGGATATAGGATTCGTCCAGGAATGGTGTTGCTGCTTGAGCTGACAAGATCAGCCGTGTTGGATAGAATGAGCTACCAAGCACTTTTACGCCAGAACTGCCACCATTCCTTGGCAAGTGTGCCCTTCTTGTGTCGCCAAAGCGCAGAAAACTCGATATACTCGTGAAAGCGTGGGTCGTTCTTCAAGTTCGCTGCCGGGCCCTGACCCGTGAGGCCCAACTTTGCGTAAATGGTAGCCGGGTCTTCTCCGTCCTTGAGCCATTGACGATATTTCTGTTTTTTCGCAAACTTCTCCAGCTTGACTGTGTCTTTCGTTCTGAGCAGACTTCCAAGCTTGGTTGCCCAAGTAAACGCTCTCTCTTCTTCATCGGGGTGTCCAACGTCCGCAACGTGCTTGTTCTGGGTTCTGAGAAACCTCTTTTTATCTGCAGTGAAAGCCACGACGTCAATGACAGGTGCGGTTATGTGTAGGCTTGATTTCTCTTTTTCTGCAGGTGATGATAATGCCTTGCTGCTTGCGATGTTGAAAGCTGCAAGAAGCAGCATCATAAGGAAGAGGCGCATGATAATTCCTCGTCGAAGCTGAGCGAATGCGTGTTTGACTGTAGGATAGCGGAATATAAAATGAGAATGGGATCATTCGAATTGTTGATCGTGCGTGGGCTTGGTGATGCAATACCAGTGGAGATCGTCAGCAGATCTTAAGATTTAACCCTGCCTGGCACTACGTAATATTCAGTAGCGTTATAATAGCTGTTGCGCGTGCCATGATATTGTTGTCAACTATCATAACAGTCCGTCAGACTTCAATTTTAATACGCCGACCAACCGATGCTAGATCTCTCACGTTCTTCACAAATGCTACACGTAGGGCAGCAATCGTCGAAGTTTGAGACTAGGATTGCGGGTGGTGTTCATATATTGATATTAATAACGAGAAATCTAGGTCTCAATACAGGTATACATTTTTGGCCCGTGTTTTGTTCCTATCATAGTTATAGATGCACATAACTAGATAACTTTATATAGTTATGTACAGTATCTGGCTTGTGCAGTTTCGTTGGCCAACGTAAGCAACCATTCCTTGATTGGGTTTGGGTCGGTTAACGACGGACGCAGCGACTTCGATCACCTAGTAATCTGCTAACAATCGCAAGATGTACAATTCACGACGATATGTATGTGGTACCGTCATTTTGATACGATGGACTAGGTCATCTGCTAATTCTGCTCGATGTTACCACAGCATTACTTCAACGTGCTTGTGGTGTAGCCGTTCTAGCTGTGCTGAAATCAATGCCGTCTAGTATTGAATTTGATCCAATGCTTGACGGCATTATTATTCATTTTTTTTACTGGTACACTGCTAAGGCATCGACTACTCTAGTTTTCATTAATGGCCTACATGAGTTGCATTAGCTGGACTGAAAAACAGCGTCTAATAACGTCTCGTACCGACGCGAGATATCCGCAGCGTAGACTTATTATTGCAACTCGGGCATACGTCAAAGACCGAAATTGCCACAACTTCTTCTTCAGATCTTTGTGGTGTATTCAGGCAACTGAAGACACACGGGGGCACTGGCGGAGGCCCAGGAAGTTATCGCCAAGTGTATTTGCTGGTAAATTGCAAACTGAGGATCCTTATCTATCCTTACTCATTGCGAAGGCTTGTCTTGCCTTCGGCGACCACGTTGTTTGATCAGTGATGGCAATAGAAAATTCTTTCCATAAAAGGTTCAAACATTTTTTGATTTCAAATTCTTTCAACGAACGTTTGAACATTAAAACGAAGCAAAACACTTTCTAATCGAATAGAAATGCGTTGGAGCAACTACAGCAGCAACGCTAATAGTAGCCTCGTTCAGGTTGAAGCTTAGATGCGTTTGCGAATCACTTTCCCACTCTTGCTTTAAGAATGGACAATTGGACCTGAAGGAAGCAAGCGCAGATGGAGGATGCGCAGGTGATGCTCCGGACGCCGGGGTCCCTGTCGACGCTGTCTTTGTTGATCCGCAAGTGCCCAACGAATTACTTGGCCGGAGGTTTGCCGCTTGCTTCTGTCCTCCTGCACGACGTACTTTGGTTTACTGAATAGAGGCCCTTTTTGTCATTTTGGGGGGTTTACTTTCATCAAGTAGCACGATTTTCGTACTTAGTAATACGGCATTTCGAACGTTTTTGAAAAAAGTTTGAAATCCAATTGAAGTTCGTTTAAACGTTCGTATTGCCATCCCTGGTTTGATTGGGTGTCGTTGATGTCATCGCGTTTGTCGTTATGCATGCTGGATTGTCACCAAGTTCTGCGTTATGCAGGTGCTGGTCATCCTGTGCTGCGTTATTTCCATGGGTTCATCATGCAGTGATCGGGCTGGCCCTTACTGGTAAGAGATCAGCCTATTTGCCGTTGTTGAAACCTTAACAAGGCTTGCTCATACAAGTATATGCCCTGCACTACCATATTAGTCAGACACTCTTCCTGATGCCACAGAAGCCGTTTTAGCAGCATTCTACTCTTTTCTTTCACAATACTCTACATACTCTTTCACCGCCATTGTCCCAACCAGGATTATCGAAATTGCTCTTCAGACTCCGCTTCATAAAATGAATGAGAGCTGCAGCATACGAAAAGAAAAAATAAACCACAATCTTTTCGACTGAGAAACCTGGAAAGAAAACTCGTTTATTTGGTGTGCCACGAATGTTGACCCAGGCTACGTTACGCATTCGATCTACGCAGTACCCTGGCATTAATCCGTTGTGGGCTGTCCATACCTCTATGAGGCATTCCCAGTATACATGTAACATCAACGATG